TCCTTTTTTCTACCCAATAATGCTTGGCTTGATTGACAAAATGATACCCGGACTCCCTCCAAAGTAAAAACCTCCTAACCTAATAGTAAAATTGAGGTTTCAAGAAAGTTGTCGAGGTGCTGACACATGGTGCCTGGCACCTCTCCCGCACGCCGGATGTCCTTGATGATCCTACAATTTTTTGGCACGTTTTTTTCTTTGTTTAGGTACGTATGCCATTTGGACTGATATTCTTTTTATGTATAACGTTTATGTATGTTCGATTTCTAATATAATAATAATACACCAAATGGAGAAAAATTCTAATACACGTGCCCTCTTCAAGGTATAATATCTATCTCGAATCTAAAATGAATTATTTTAACTAAATATAGAAAGTTAAATCTTTAACCCTTGTTTGTGCAGCAAGACAAATTAACCCAGAAAAAATCATTTTGATAATAAGTTTTACAGATGAAAAATAGAGCTTAAACAAAAAATCATTGAAAGGGGTCGGAGGTAAATACAATTTTTAATAATTTTGAATTACTAATAATTGATTGAACTCAATTAACTATTTACATATGTGAAAATTCTCTAATTTTACCCAACCTGCCTAATGTAAACATATTCTTGACATGCACAGGCACAGGTCCATTGGCCTTCAGTGGTGGGGGGTTTCTGAGTAGTGGAGTGGAACCATATGATTGTCAGGTACTAACGTTAATCTTGAAAAGACACCAACATGAGTCTCGAGGTTGATGCTCTCGCATCCGTCGCCATAATCACACGACCGTCGTCAATCTTGAAAAGACACCAACATGAGTCTCGAGGTTGATGCTCTCGCATCCGTCGCCATAATCACACGACCATCGTCTTTCAGTCTCTCGGTCTCCCTCCCATGTAAGGAATGACAAATCCTGTCCTGATCCTAACGAGTGGCGTTCGACCGTTCCTTTTGCCTGAATAGTATGTTGACTTTGGAACCAAGTGCTGGATTCATCTGAGTGATATCAGAAGAGGTAGCACTTGATGTTTTTGTCCCCTTACTGGAGGGAAGCTGATATGGTGGTCCATTTCTGGTATCTATTCACGCACTCGACATCGTTCCCCACCCAAAATCCTCCTAAATCAGTCCACAACTTTCCGAATACCCGAGGAGCAATTTAGCTATGACTTCCAAGCCTCCACTTGCCTTTCATCTCGCGGGAGTGCTGCTTACTCTCCAACGTTTCGGGCGCACGGCAAGTTTTTTCCGCTTAGGGTGCGCATGACAACGATTCTGTGCTCGAGAATTGATTCTACTCAGAAATGATTTTTTTTTATTCCGTGCTTGAGAACAATTTCTAAGCATTTGAAGGCGTTTGGTAACTGCCCATAATTTCTATTCTTAGAATAGGAAAAGAAGAGAAATGTGTTTGGTAACTACACAAAATATCTTTTTATTAATAATATTTTGAATTTTTTAATATTTCTTTCTCTTTTTTTCTTTCTTTCCTTCCCTTCCTTGGCCATGGCCGATCACCAGCGCCGGTGACCGGCCATAGGCCAAGGCCGGTGAGGGCGTCGTGGCCCTCATCGCCGCCGTTGTCAGTCGCAACGTTGAGGTCGGCCTCGCCTTGGCTGGGCAAGGCTCAACCTCGCCCAGATCTGGCGAGGCCTACCTTGCCCTCGCGACCCATCTCCCTCGCCTGGGTCGCGACGGCGAGGTCGGCCTCGCCATGGCTGGCCAAAGCCTCGCCGTCGCGGCCGCGAGTCGCCCTCGCTAGCCCTGGCCTGTGGCCGGTCGCCGGTGGTCGGCGGTAGGCAAAGAACAACAAACCAAGAGGAAGAAGAAAACCAAGAAGAATCAAAAATGAAAAAATTGTTTCCAGAATAAAAAAACTACTTTTTTTTGCTTCTTGATTCTGTTCCAAAACTGATTCTAAGAATAGTTTTTTGCAAATTTGTGCCCGTGCACAAAAATTTTAACAAACGGATTTCTGTTCCCAAACTGATTTTGGAAATAAAAGAACAGAAATTTTCACTATTTGACGACTTGCCAAACGGGCCCTTAGTCTTAAGGAATGAGAAGATGGGTTGTTTGTGCTCATTCCGGTATAGTGAATGAGGGTAAATGATACAAATGATCATTGAATTTTGGTCCAATGTGTAATGTTATCTCTGAACTTTAAATTTGTTAATGTGATCCACGAACTTTAATCCAATGTACAATGTTGTTTCTGAACTTTTAATTTGTTTAATTGGTCCATGAAATTTTGACAGATGTTCAATTTAGTCCCTAAACTATATGAAAATGTTCAGTGTTGTCTCTAAACTTAAATTAATGAAAAGACAACATTGAACATTTTCATGTAGTTCAAGAACTAAATTAAACATGTACCAAAAAGGACCACATTGAATAAATTGAATATTCATGGACGGCACTGCAAATCAGATTAAAGCTCAGAGACCACATTGAACAAATGTAAATTCAATGATCACATTGAGGCAAAGTTCATGGACCATTTGTGTCATTATCCCATTGAATAACTACACCCTCCCTTATGTATATCATTGGCAAAGCATGATCAACTAAGCAAATTTGATGGTTACCTCGACATAGCATTCAACAGTCAGCAATACCAAATGAAGAGGAGAGTGGTCAGGAGGGCTTGCGTTAATGTCATGAGTTAATTAAGCATCTTGTTATCAGAAACTGAATCATTGACTTTGCCTAGTCATCTTTCACTCTATTATGACTACGTGCGCGAGCAGCTTCGCACAAGTCATACATCATCTCAATCAGTATATTTGATCTTTAAACATACATCGCGCCCGTGATCAGAAAGAGAGAGAGAGTCCACTCTCCATTAATAATTTTTTGTTGTGATGCAAGAATTGTATTAGAAAAGTTGCACATCGAATAATTAATATAGTGCAAAGTAATTAATATATCTTACTAGGATCATAATTAATTAGTTTAAGCTTTTGAATGAAGGTGAGTCCAACTAGATACGTTGACGGGCTCGGAACTTAGTTTCCTCTTGGCCCCAGTGAAGGTATCGAGCTTCTCCTATGCGCTCCCAACATATTTAAGTCTAAAAATTATAGTTTCTATAAATAAAATTAGATTAGAAAATCAAATGATAATAACAATGCTTTGGGGAAACAAAAGGACTTTATTAGTTTTGCAACCATGCTTATCTGATATGTTATTACTATTATTACATCAATAGTGGGATAAAGCCTATGCACATGTGTTAATGCATAAATATATTTATACAGTTACACGCTCAGCTTTTGTATGGGAAAATTACCAAAAAAGTTCTAAACTTATTGTACGCATGTCAATTCAATCTTATACCTTTTAATTTGGCTAATTTAGTCATAAACCTTTTGAAGATTTGTCAATGCAGTTCTTCTAGCCAATTTTGGCCGATAATTGCTGATGTGGACACCGACGTCCTACGCGTGACACGTAGGACAGGAAATGTTGACATGGAAAATTTTATTTTATTTATTTATTTATTTGAGTTTTTTTTATTCTTTTTATTCTTTTCTTTTCTTTTCTTTTTCCTTTTCCTCCCTAGGTTGTTGGCCATGGCAACCGATGGAGGAAGACAGAAAAGAAAAAGAAAAAAGAAAAGGAAAAAATTGTAAAAAATTCAGAAAAATTAATAAAATGCAAAAAATTATCTGTATTAGCACCGGCCATGTCACGTAAAACAACTATCATTTATGTCAGTGATTGCCGGCCAAAATTGACCGAAATGACTACATTGGCAAATCGTCAAAAGGTTTAGAATTAAATTGGTCAAATAAAATATTGATAACTGAATTGGTATTCGTACAATAGATTTATGATTTTTTTTAATTATCCCTTTTTATATTGAGATACTTAGATGGGTTGCGATAACTAAATATAAAAATATGTTTAAAATGAATGATCAATGACATGAACCCAAAATAAAATTATTTATGATTGTTTGGAAGAAAATATATTTCTTCTATTCGTAAATTATGTAGCAAAATTTGCATTGCCTTACTGAAAACTTGTCGCGATTTTTTTTCTGTCTAGGACTTGATTCTCGTGAATATTATGATTCGGCGCTAAAACTAATTAATGAGAGAATGAATTTATTATCAGTCGTTCTCATTATAAAAGAAAGTTTCTGAAAGTACAATTTCTTTGATTGTAAACTTTTTCATGTTGTTCATAAGTTTATTAATTAAATAAGGCGTGCCAAAACTTTTGGCAGTTTGATTTGATATATGTTGTACGAGGACACTGTCCCAATATTGCATTTGTCGTAGGTTTATTAAGTAGATTTAGTTATGAGATGCTAGCATTAAATTTGCATCATAATAAGTGTACGATTTATGTGTTGGAATATTTATCGATTGGATGAGATTCAAATCAAACAGTGATTGGCTAATGATAAATTAATGTACCCTTGTCACTGAAGATACAAACTCGAGCACATTCTCTTAAGATTACCCCAAGGAGCACAGACTCGCGTGCCTCCGATAATTGCCTGACTTGTGTGGCACATGGAGGCCGCAACGCCTGATGAGATTTAATCGAGTGCTCAAAGAATCTCGAACACCCATTATTAAAAAAAAAAGATAAATTAAAATGGATATAGACTTATATTTAGATTATATTTATTTAAGTGTGAAAATGTTAACCTACTATCTTTGACAATTGCCGGATTAGATTAGATAAGATCAGATTGGCCCATGGTTTTTTTAGAAATCCAGATTAGTTGAGCGTAACCAATAGTCGCAATCATCTACTATCTTTGAGAATATTCCCATTTTGACAATGCTCTCTTCCTTTTTCATCTGATAGTTCAGAAAGGAACCATCTTTTCATCCCACTTTCAAGAATATATGCCACGAACAACACGAAGCTGCGGTTCTGCATACAAGAGGAATCCTTACCAAGCACCAGTCCAGAAGCAGCTCGTTAAGTTTGAGATTATTCTCACCATCCACCATGTTGGCCAATTGAATATTTTTTGTAAGCAATCCACCAGTTACAGATAATAATTCTCACATGACAATAGTTTACAACAGTCAACAATGGTACAAATCTGACCTACTTACATCACCCGACGACTCGATTTAAACTGACAAAAGGGAACCCAAATCGCAAATTCAAACTGGGTTAAATGAAAGGAACACCGACACACCGATATAGAGTGAAAAATCAACAGTTTATACACACACAATTAATCAGCTATATGGATCACCATCAACTGGGGCATAAAAGGTCCCATCTTCTTGATGATACAAGCACACTTTATTTCTTTTTGAATCGACCCACCTGTCCAAAGCCATGATCATCGCATAAACTAAAGTCAGTCCAAAGTATCATCAAGACTAAATCAGTACATTTATAAGAAATAGTCTGATTAACGATAAGGTGGGTTCATGTCTAGTCACACAGGGCCCATCCACTTTCCCATCTATCTTTAAATTTGAAAACGACGGCCACTCTGTGACATTAGCCATCATGATCATAGTCGAACCCTTTTTTTCTTCATGATAAAATGCAGTAATTTGCATAAACAATATATAAATGGATTAACGCAGTTCGAGTATTCGATGATCACTGGAGATAGAAAACCTCGATTCGACTACGAAGAAGCTTGTGAGGATTGAAACCCATAAGTTAAATTAAGAGTGATGGGGGGCTTACCCAAGGGTGTGCTTTTCAATTCTTGGTGATGATCCAGACAGCGTAAATGATCCCGGGAATATAGCCCAATATGGTCAGCAGAAGGCAGATCCAGAACTCGATCTGTTGACCATCACAACGAGTGACCAATTAGTAATTCACCACACAAAAAGAAAAGGAGAAAGAGGACCAACATGGGTATAAAACATCTGATTTCCTACATATGGAAACCCCTTCATGTCCATCATAGTTTGCTCAGAAGAGACAAAGGAATACGTGCTTACTTTCTAGTCTGTTAATTTCCAAGAACTGACTAACCCAAGTTTGCATGGAAGCTAAAGCAAAAGAATCAAAAGAAGAAGAAGGTGTAAGTGTAGGGGTTTGACCTTGCAGCCAAACTTGAGGAAGACACCGAGAGGAGGCAAGATGATGGCCAAGAGGAGGTCTACGCATGTGGCGGTGCTGTCCGACATTGCTGTTCTTCCTCTGCCCTTCGATTCAAGCTGTAGTAATCTGAGCTTTTGTGCGGGAGGGTGGTGGTGGTCACAAGGGTCTCTAGCGTGAACAAACTGGAATGGTGATGCTTCTGTCTTTATAGAGACCACCCCCCCACTACGTGTGCCTCGCTCATTGGGACGATCTCCATGTGTTGTTATGCATTACTTTCTGCGGAATTCTAGAACGTAGAATCCAATTTTACAGCTGCCTCGAATAAGCTTTTGGAACGTGGCATGGCGCCCCCCATATTCCTTAGGGGTAATCCATTGTTATTAGGAAAGTTTAACAAGGCAACGCAACCCTCACGCTCGCTCGCGGATGCGGTGTCAGCTCTTTTCTCCATCCTAATCCATTGTGTTGACCCGTTGAATGTGGGGGCGAGTCCAGTTCATGCACGACTCCTAGCTCACGTGGATTCATATCCACAACCACAGCTAACCACAAGATAAAGAAGAGCTTATTTTGTCATAATCTCTCTCTCTCTCTCTCTCTCTCTCTCTCTCTCTCTCTCTCTGTGTGTAAATCCGACATGGTTGATCTAGGATGGGCTGTAATTTGGGCAATCAAGGAGCTCAATGGGCTGAAAGCCTCCATTCCTAAGCATGGAAGTTGACCCACTATAGTCGGATGACCTAATAATTAAGGAAAAGACAATAGCGTATGTGGTCCCACTCTCCCATACTAAGGCCTACTAAGATGTTCATAAACTTCATATTAACTGTTAAAGACTTAGCCCCTAACATCAAGACCCATTAGGCTCATCAAACTTTCTCCATATTAGAGCCATCAAATGGGTAGGTTAAGTTGGGTTGGATCGAAAATGGTTCGACGCAAATTGACCCATTTATATACAATACAAATTGAGTAATCTATACTCAATCTAATCCGTACCTGTATCCGTACCTAACCCAATCCATATTAAAGTGTTTAATTTAACTCATGAAAATCCGTATCCATCTAGTTAACTCACTTTGAGCTCTTCATGTGTATATGTTACTTGAATAAAATCACTATTTTGACTATAAGATACTAAGAAATTGGATTTCAACATTGCATAGAATTTTTAATTTTTGTATCGATTCTCAATGAAAATAAGAGAAATTAGTACTTGGTAGTTTATTTATAAAATCACGGCAACAAATAATGTGGAGGAATTAAAATTTTAATTAAATGGAAGTAAGATATTGAATAAGATTATTTATGCTGACCATGGATTGTAATGACAAAAACTAAGATCAGAATATTACGTAAAAAATAATAATGTCAAATGCAACCAAGGAAAGATAAACTCCAATAACTAACAGGCGAAACTTACAAGATTAATTAAAATAAAAAAAATAGAGGGGAAAAAGAAGCCGTTTTGATATTTTTAATAAGGGTTAATACCACGAAAAATCCTAAACTTGTACACTTGTGACACATTTACCCCAAACTATTTTTTGATCATAAAACCACAACCTGAGTACACTGTGATAATTTTACCCCGAACATACCAAAAAAACCCCAAACACATGTGACAATTTTACCCCAACTAATTTTTAATATTATTTTTTATTTTTTGAATTTTTCTTTCTTTTCTTTTTTTTTTTTTTTCTTCACTTCAACCTCACGGTCGGCCGCCGGCCGCGTCAGCCAGAGGCTGGAGGCCGGCGAGGCGCCCTCAAAGCAACCGCCGGCGAGGACCGCCCTCGCTCGACTCGACAAGGGCGACCCTCGCCGGATCTAGCGAGGCGGCCTCGCCGACGCGGCGAGGGTCGCCTCGCTCGAGCCTGGGCGAGGTCGCTCGCCGGCGGCGAGGATGCCCTCGCCGACGCAGCGAGGCCGCCCTCGCCCGACGCCGGCGAGGGCCGCCCTCGCCCGACGCCGGCGAGGCCGCCGCTCGCCGCGCCGGCGAGGGCCGCCTCGCCCGACGCCGGCGAGGGCCGCCCTCGCCGACGCCGGCGAGGCCGCTCGCCGACGCCGGCAGGGCGCCCTCGCCCGACGCCGGCGAGGGCGGCCTCGCCCGACGCCGGCGAGGGCGGCCCTCGCCGGCTTCCGCGTGATCGGGCCTGACGCGGACCGGCGACCGCCGAGGTTGAAGATAAAGAAAAAAATAAAACGAAAAAAATAAAAAATAAATAAAAATTCGAAAAAAATAAAAAATAATATTAAAATTTTAATTCATGGTAAAATTGTCACATATGTACCAATTTGGGGTTTTTGTGGTAAGTTCGTGGTAAAATTGTCACGATGTATTTGGGGTTTTTGATGGTCAAAAAATAGTTCGGGTAAAATTGTCACAGTGTACCACGTTTGGAGTTTTATGATCAAAAAATAGTTTGTAAATGTGTCACATGTGTATCAGCTTTAGGGTTTTCGTGGATTAACCCTTTTAATAATGGTAAAGTCGGGCCCATCTTGCAGGCCTACCAAGACTTTTTGAACTTGAAACAGTCTAAGGAATCTGTTATTTTCTCATATAAGATGAAAAGAGAGTCACAAAAGTAGGTTGGGTAAATTGTGAACCCATTTAACACTCAAATTTTTTGAGCTTTGTCATTCAAAACTCATTTCTTTACTAAATAGAACTAATCTATATAATGATTCAGCCCATCATATATGGATTAAGAAATGGATTAATGTCCCATTTTGGCAAGTTTACTCCATATGCATACACAAGTATCATAATGTGCAAAGGTATGTAAAGTGCTTTACCCAACTAGCTAGGCCCGACTTCTTTACAAATGATATGCTATGCGCTCGCATAAGGGAATTGCCATATCTACGCATCATCAACCGTATCAGTCACAAATTTTAGGTTTTCGAGAAGTGCTACATCATTGTGAACCTGCCATATCTATGCATCATCAACCGTATTGCCTTCGGCTTAAGTTGTTAGAGAAGTGCCGCATCACTATTTTACGTAAGAATTGATGTCGAAAATATCAAACGTCATTAAGGGTTGGAAGTGTTTCTCGAAGAGACCGACTTTATTTATTCATCTACTAAGAATTAACGAATAATGATTGTCATCTCAAGATCACCTATATATACTGCACCGTTTATTCAAAGAGATGGCACATGATCCTAATGCGACCGATATGCTTCTTGAACATTGACTATTCAACATGGCTCGACTCCAAGTGACGAAAGCCACGTTATAAATGTATGACCAACATCATATCTACATCGATATCGATTTACAGAATGATCTGGTAAAAGTTTAGTCGAATACCTGAACGTGGCCTATTGATTCAAATACTTGCTAAATTACCGTAGATCGTGTCCATCTGATTATTCTTTTTCCATCAAAAAATTTGGAAGAGAAGTTATTTTCCTAATTGACCCTTAATTCGATTATAATCTGCATTTTTTTGCTTAATTCGAGTTCTTGAAGATGCCACGCATTCCCCTCCTCGTCGATTATAAAATGTCCACTCTCCAAAATGTTTAGCTTCCAGACTGTAGCTCAAATTAATATAGCCCAAGCAACTCAGCCCTCTTGCGCATTACTCTTTTCTTTTGGGTCTGAAGGCACTGACTCGTGTGTTAACTAACTTGGGAGCAGATCATGTGCCTCCTCCTGTCTCCCTTGCGACAGATGTCAATCATGTGCATAGTTTTCTCCAGAGCCCCCTATGTATGGGAGGAGCTTGTGACCACGCATTTCCCTGAATTACGAAAAAAAAATCAGGACCGCTGTAACTTCGTACTACACTCTTTTTAAGGGTTATAATTTTTTTTTTCGACTACTTATGTGTCTTAATTTCTAAAAAACGGTGACTTGGGTACCGTGACTTTAAATCGATCACTTGGATGTCCAAATTTTTTTTAAATGATTACCCAAGTGCTGAAAATCTGACTTGGCATAGTATTTGTAGTAAACATTTTTAAAAAATTACGTTACTCAAGTGATCGATTGAAATGTCATATGGCAATCAAGGGGAAACGTGTTAGAAAAGTCCTAAATTTATTGCATTGAGTCCTAAGTCTTTTTTTTTTTTATGTCAATTCAGTCCTAAACCTTTTAATGTAATGCCAATTTAATCATTCTGGTTAATTTTGGCCGGATATTGCTGATGTGGACGCTGGCCAGCTTACGTGGCATTGTCAACTCTAACGTGGATAACTTTTAATAATATTTAATATTTTTTCGAATTCTTTATTTATTTTAATTTTTTTTCTTTTTTTTCTCTTTGCCTTCCCTTTCTTCTTCCTCCAGCCGGTCACTGAGGCCCAACGAGATACTTTGCCGGCCATAAGCAAGGCTTGCCCTCGCCGGCGACGGTGAGTTTCACCATGGCCGGGCAAGGCTCGACCTTGACGGATGGCTGCCCCAGCTGCTAGTGAGGCTCAAGCCCTCGCCACCTCGCGGCCACCTCACTGGATCTTTGTGAGGGCGGCCTCGCACTGGGCTGGAGAGGTTGTGCCTTGCCCAGCCACTGGCGAGGCTCGAGCCCTCAACAGAGACTACGAGGTTGCAACCTTCGACCTCCTCGAATGACTACAAGGGCAGCCTTGCACTGGGCTAGAGAGGGTCGAGCCTTGGCGAGGTTGTGCCTCGCCCAGCTGCTGGCGAGGCTTGAGCCCTCACCAGAGGCCACGAGATCGTGGCTTTCGACCTCACCGGATGGCAGCAAGGGCGGCCTCGCACTGGGCTAGTGAGGGTCGAGCCTCGTTGGTCATGGATGAGGCATCCGGCGAGGTCGTGCCCCAGCCATGGCGAGGCGCACCTTCGCCGTTGCTGGCGAGGCTGCTAGCGGCGAGCCTCACCAATGGCCGGCGAGGTCGATCTCGCCAACTTTGGCATCCAGTCGGTGGCAACCGGCTAGAGGAAGAAGAAATGGAAGGAAAAAAAAGAAAAGAAAAGAAAAATATTTAAAAAAATTCCTAAAATATTAAAATATTATTAAAAATCGTCTACGTCAGCGTCGATGGTGCCTCGTAAATCAACCGGAGTCTATGTCAACAATATTCGATCAAAATTAGCTAGAATGACTGAATTAGCACAAAGATTTATTTAAGAGTGAATAGCATAAAAAAAAGTTTATGACTAAATTGATACCAATGCAATAGGTTTGTGACTTTTCCGACACTTTTCCCGGCACTCACGTGATTGGAAAAGAAAAAATCCCAGTGAGTGTCATATTATGATACTTAAATAATCAAAAACAAAGTTATAACACTCAAATAAATATCATATGAAAATTATAACATCGTCCTTAGAACAAAAAAATAATAGTACACCAAGAGAACGGGAACCAGAACAAGAGGACATGGATGGACTGGACCTCTCGTGTCATCCCCAGCGCTCTCCATATGGCTTTGTGCGGTGAATGTCCAACTGCGCTGATCTCAAGGCGGGCGCCTCTTCGTCCACGTGCAACTTCAGTTTGGCGTTTCCAGTTCTGATTCTGTCATTTGAAACAGAGGAAGACATCAGCACAAGTTCTCCTCTTCCCTTCCCAAGAGGATGGACAGCAATTTCAAACCACCTTCTGGATGTGCTAATTAGCTTATTCCGGGGTTATCACAGCCTTAACAGAAACTGAATGAGACACAGGGCGTACGGAGCGAAACTCTGCGAGCTGACTTACTGATCCAGAAAACGGTTTCTTTAAGCCACTCGGCCAGTTAAGTCACCGACTCTGGCTTATCTGATTCATCGAATCGACGAGGTAAATGTTAAAAAAGTCGTGAATAAAGCCACCTGTTTTGGACCTATTCCTGAGAAGTAGGTTGTGAAGAAGATTTTATCAAAGAAAGAGAACAAGACTGTTGACGGAAGTGGATATGTTCATCAAGCACCTGTAGCAGAACAGGGTCGGCCACTCTGTGTACAAGGGGGAGGTGATGCCATCTGCCAATTCAAGATTAGGATCCCCGTCCCTTCTGAGTTCTGGCTTTCGTTTTAATCTCACTATCGACCAAATTTTGTTTGTCCCTCACCCCCCAAAGGGATTGGATCAACAGTGCCAAACAGAAAAACAAGAACAAAGAACCAAATAAAAAAAAAAGAAGCAGCTCCGACCATTGCGGAGATGTTAACACATCCACTAATTACACTTCAAATAAAAGGCCTCTCCAACTGGAAGATGAGAAATCGTTTAAATCCCCAAGTTCCCGTCGTGATGCATTGAGCTCAAGCACTAGTCATGCCTCATCAATCCCCACATCCCCATATAATTTCTCTCCAGCTTTCAACACCGTAAGTCTTTATTATTTTTCAAACTATCAATGTGGATGCTATATTATAATCTGTCATGGGAGATGGTAGGAGATGGTAAGTGACGAAAATCCCCAGAAGCAGAGGATAACATAAGCTATCTCGAGCAGCGTAAGTTGTGTTTCTGCTACACTTTACAGACCAAAGTGGCTTCCCTCCGCTCTCAAATATATAAGATCAGATAGTCAAATTCAGCAGCAGGAACAATAATAGTAATTGCATTCTTGTTTTTCTTCGTGGCCCCACTTTGTTTTCTCAAATGAAATCAAGAATCTGTGATGGAATTGGAAGATACCCAGTTTGAGGCATTTGACTGTTCTTGTTTTTGCTTCCTTTGGTAATTCACCGTTTTGACTGCTATTAGTGGGAAGTCAGAGAGACCCCCAAAAGCAGGGAGCAACAAGGGCGGCTAAAGCTTTGGGATTTGGACCTCCATTTTGCATTTTAAAGCCTTTTTGTACTCGTCTCTGCCTCACTCCCTGCCTCATTTGTTCCCACCATCCAACCTTTCACCTTCTTCAATACAGTCCAGCTGGGTTTTTGCACCCTCCTTGCTCTGCGTGAATTTCTCCAGAGTGTCTCTCTTTCTCCGAGCTTAAAAATTTACCTTTTGAGGATTTTCCAAACCGTGATATACGAGCAAGAGCAATCATTCGCCCTTTAAATGCATTTGGATTAGTGTTGCTCGTGTCATTCGAGGTGTCATGATTCAACCAAGAGTCATGTGCTTGTTGGGTAAGAAATTTATGGGCCTTTTCATCACTAGATAAGCCATCTGTCAAATATAAGATCTGAATGTTTTCCTTTCTATGAAGTTTCTGATGAAGGGTTCTTGGGAAACAAGATAAAGTTTGGTATTGCATGATTGGAAGTTGTCAAGGGAGAATTTTTATGTATAAACGAATAGCAGGGTTTCTGAATCTCTTCAAGAACTGAGCACTTTAGCACTTTACTCTTTTCAAATACGGGTTAATAGTATTTTATGTTGCTCGCTGATGGTGACCATCATATTAAAAAACAGAGGTTTATTTTGTTTATCATAACGGTGAAAAGGAATGATCTTTTTCTCTACTCTACCTCCCCTATAAATTGGACTGAGTTTGTCTTTCTGTGGGGGTTTTGGCACAGAATGTGACGCCTTAACACTCTAGGGCGAAGGTTTATCTACAACTTTGGTTCTTTGAATTCTATTGGAGAGTGGTGAAGCTGCATACAGAAGCTAAGGGCTCGAGGTTGGGACATTTCTAAGAAGCTAAAAGGTGTGACCAGCTCTTAACCATGCCGCTGTTTGAGCTCTTCAAGATGGCTAAAGCTAAGCTTGACTCAAGCCTAGAGAAACCCACATTTTCTTCAACTGATCTTTCTTCTGTGTAAGTTCGATTTTTTTTTTTAATTGCTTGCCAAATCTTTCACATTTTAAGCTCTTTTATGAGTTTATTTTTTCTCTAATGTTTTGTCAGTTATGGCCTTCAATTTTGTGCGCAGACCTGAAAACGAGCTTGTAGAGTTAACATGGGAAAATGGTCAGGTTGTGTTACAAGGTCAATCTAGTCGAGCTAAAAGGAGCCCCTTCAGTAATAATTTACCTTCTAATGGATCAAAACCTAGAGAAGGAGCTTCAGGTGATGATACCAGACCCAAGTCCGGTAAGTTTAGGAATCTTGAATGTGGATTAAGTGAATTTCCAGTGACTGAACCGTCGAGTGACATTGGTTTGGGACAGGAGGATGACATGGTGCCTTGGTTGAGTTTCCCTGTTACTGGATCTTTACAGAATGATTACTGTTCTGATTTCTTGCCTGAACTGACTGGAGTTGCAGTAAATGAGACTTCCCCTGGAAATGATTTTGGGTCGATTGACAAAAGTTCTAGTCAGATATATAGGGAGTCCCGTGGCATTGATAATGGTGTTCATAGTCAGGGACAACCAAATGCATCGAAGTTTTCTTCTTCTGCAGCTGGCGAAACTGTAATCGATAGAACTAACTCCAGTCAACTGTATTACTTGCCGAACCAGCAGTTCTTATTGCCATTAACGTGTTTTAGATCAAGAGCCTTGGATAATGCGAGCACAAGTACAAGCAGTAGCACTTCCGAAGCTGTTTGTGGGGATAAAGCTCGGTTGCCAACCTCTGCGGTAGTATGTTCTACTGTAAAGGTGCAGAGGCAGGATTTAGGGCATTCAAGTAAGAGTTCCGGTTTTACGAATTCCCGCAGTTTTTCACAACCTGCTTCTCTATATAGAGTTAATAATGCTGAGAGCAGTGACCAAACAGCTGGTTTCGGTTTGTCGAGTGCAGATAGATCAGTCAGTAAGGAAAAGGCTTCATCTATCGATAATTGCACCCTTAGTGGATCAAATTTTGCTGTCTCAAGCGATGGTGTGCAGAAGCAGAGAAAGATTGATTCCTCAAAACCATTTGACAGAAAGAAATATGAGCAACATTTTTCTGCTGGGCACTCAGAGACTATCTACCTGGAGAACACCTCTAAGAATGCTAAGCTTTCTTGTCAAAATTATCAAGCAAGTATTTGTAAAGGATCAACTGAGGGTGAAAAGACCACAGAGCTTGTGGGTGGTTCTTCTTCCGTTTGCTCAGGCAACAGTGTGGAAAGAGTTTTAGATGACCCCCAACGCAATTTGAAGAGGAAATCTCATGAGACTGATGAGTCTGATGGTCCCAGTGAGGTATATTAGGATTTTTTCTAGTACTCTTCTTTTCCAGGACTAGTTTTGATGGCATATGTTGGTCCATATCATGAAAAAACATGTTGAATGCAGGATGTCGAAGAAGATCCGACCCACAAAAAGAAGCAAAACCCTGCTCAAGGTACTTCAAAAAGGAGCCGAGCAGCAGAAGTGCATAATTTATCTGAAAGGGTGAGTAAAATGATTGAGAATCTATTCGTGAAGACTGCTTTGACAATTATAAGGTTATGTATAGTTTGTGCAAGTCTCAATATCTTTTTTGAATTTCCTTGAAACAGAGGCGAAGGGACAGGATAAATGAGAAAATGCGTGCACTACAGGAGCTCATCCCAAATTGCAATAAGGTAGAGCTTTTCTACTTAAGATATCTTCCTAAAATCTACATGGTACTTTATCAAATTTGCTCTAGATCTAGGGATCTAGGCTGAGAGACAGCGTGAATTTGTTCGAGTATCTGTTTCGTCCATGTTTGTGGGATGTGAAAAATTGACCAGCAGTTCATATGTCTATTGGCTTCCATTTAGCGTAAACTCACCAGTGTCATGAGACACAAGAAGTTAATGAGCCAATTAATGATCGATACTCTTACTCCTTGTCTGATTGTCTTCACTGATTTTGGCTTTTTGCCGTTGTAAAGGTGGACAAAGCTTCGATGCTTGATGAGGCGATCGAGTATCTCAAGACGCTTCAGCTTCAAGTGCAGGCAGATATATCTTTGCAAAATAGTCAGTTTGATTCTTTTAGTTTCTTTGACAAGTTCTGAGGCACATTAAACTTTTCCAGCAGATGATGTCAATGGGAGCTGGTCTGTACATGCCACCTATGATGTTACCCACTGGAATGCATCCAGCACAAATGCCGCATTTCTCACCCTTTGGCGTTGGAATGGGATCAGCAATCGGATTTGGAATGGGTATGGTTGACATGAACGGCCATTCTTCTGGTCGACCAGTGGTTCAAGTTCCCCCAATGCAAGGTCCACATTTTCCTGGCCCACTGATGTCAGCAGGGATGGCGGGAGCGAATCTCCAGATGTTAGATTTTCCTGGTCAAGGAATTCCTTTACCGATGCCTCGCACACCGCTAGTTCCTTTTCCTGGGGGCCCAGTGATGAAACCTGCGGTGGGACTTGGTGCCTATGGAATACCGACTTCTATGGAAAATCCAGATTCAACTGTTGCCTCGAGATCAAAGGAAGCACCGCAGAACATTAATATGGAAGCTCTGCAAAATTCCGCTTCCATTTGCTTGAAGAACCAGTCATCCAGTCAGGTTTGTCAGCAACTTTGAAGTCCCATAATTTCGGAGAGAATAAACATTAACATTTAATGTTTAGGTTTACATGCATGAGCAAGTGGGGTTGGGATATCAGCATCGATACCCTCCTACCAAACTCGAAGATAGTGAAAAGCAAATCAATGTTACACTAAATTAATTTGTTTAGAAATTTCATGACATTGGAAGTCTTTTGATTGATTATATCGGGCAAATAGAATGCTAACACATTTCTCCATAGATGTACTGTTGAGTGACATTGGATGCTGCATAAAATTTCGTTCGCTCTTAGTCAAATAATTCTCCATGATGTTCTGATGCACGATTTGCCTTTAGTGTGTTTAAAAGGCTATGCAGTTCATGAACAGAATTTTGCTTACTCGGTTTGGCAGCATTCAAAGTAATTTCGAGTTGGGCATGTGAAGTATTTTAATAATGCTAGTTTACTCTCATGTCTGGGGAGTTCTGTATATTGGGACATTTCTACAAGAGTGGTACTGTTAAAGTGAGGGATGTACTTGATAGAAGAAATTTTGGTCATGAACTTTCCACGAGAATTTGATGGTAGAGAGTAAACACTGTTGATATTTTGTATGGAAGGAAGCAATAAATTCCATTCTCTCCAGCAAATGCATTAGCTATATATTATGTAATTGTATGGTACTAAGTTGGTATAGTCCTAAGCAATGTGGTTGTTTCCAGCAGTCTGCTGTGGCACAAAGTAGCTGCCAAACCTTGGATGTTAATGGAAGCATGGCTATTGAGTCCACTGGAAATGATGTTGAATCGGCAAAGCAAGTTGCAGGTAGGTTTTTGCCAGTATCATCTTTCTTGGGTATAGAGATAAGAAAAGTTTCGATGTTCATTTGGTTTTTCTTTTTGCAGATCCTGATTTGTGAGTAGTATAAATTTTGTTAGAGGAGTGGAATCTAATTGACAGGCTACAGATGCCGCTGCTTCTCTGCCTTCTCTGTGAATATAGTTTGAGGCGCCGAGTTCTTGAACCGAGGAGGTTGACGCTTATAACAGGATTTTGAAGTTTTTTTTCTCCCTTTATTCTGCTTGTTTGTTTAGTGTAAAAATGACCTTTTTTACAGTTTTGGCATCTTTGGAATGGTCTCTTCCACGATATGCATACTCAGTTAAACCTCGGTACATGAAATAAATGCTAATAGAGGTGAATCGGTGATCCCGTGTATAACTGTTTTTGGTGATTAGGCCCTGGAGTGTGTTCCATGTTTCTTTTCTAGATCTTCGCACCCAGTTAAGATTTTAAGGCATCACCATAAGGGTGTCCCATTTCAGCAATTTTGTTGAGCATTTGATAACTGAATTCTGCAAGCCTAAGCTGTGGTCTAAGTATAATCGAATGCGAAATTCTTTGCAATGACATACGGATTGAAAAAAGAAGCTTTCTGTGGATTATCTAATAGATTTAGAAACAGTATGGACATGGGAATGGTCTCCCAACCAGATTGATCAGCGTAAGTGTACGCTGGTGATGGGAAAGTTATCATGATTTCACAGTGCAAAGAATAGTGGGAATGTAATCATTCAGATATGGGGGACAAGGAAGCATTTCAACTAAGCCAAAACTTCTGAATGATTGATGGGCTTGAAGTTTATAGAGCTCGTTATCAATGATGTGATTAAAGGATAAAGGACCTCTTATCTTGTCTCCTCCTTAATAAAGTATGATTTCCATGGAGACTTAAGAGCTTTTCTTCCCTGTTAAACATCTTTCTTTCTCCCGCTCATAATAATTGAGTTGGACAATTACGGTATGGATCATATATGATATTTGGAGATCAAGAACAACCGTCTATATCCGTCAGTTGCTGCAGAGATCTTCGAATTTCTTGCTGATAGCGACGCATGTGTTTCTAATCAGAATCTGCTTTTCTGTTTCTGTTGAGAGGGCACACAATTATCAAGCCTACGCTTAAAATTAAGTTGAACTCATGAAGTGTGCATGTGCTTATGTTTCCAACCACTGCTAATGAAGCCACTAACCGACACTAAGAGATCAGACTCATGGTCATCCTGAACAGACATGATTTCAAGCAACACCAACACTTTTGGCAGGTAAAAAATAAGAACAGAAATCAAAATGCAGAAACAATCCGTTGCCTTTTGGAATGAAGCAACAAAATAAAATTCCAGCAAGATCATTAGCAAGAGATCATGTTCCAGGCAAGGCTGATTTGCTGGATCTGTAAAAACTCCACCTCGCAGAGAGTCTCGTCAGGTAAATGAAGAGAGAGGTGACCATGCTTCATCCGAGGAAGTCATGTTATGCGTTCAAAGAAACACTAACAAAATGTGAGAATATAGAACGTGTTATCATATTCTAAACAAATCAGTGCAAACAGATGTCATATTCCCCATTTGGTCAATGTAAAGGTGAAAGTAAAAGCATGTTCAGAATGCTAACAAAACGATTAGATTAAGATTGATTCTTAAGGACAAAGGGAATAAGCATGTAGCAACAGTTGACTTGGTAGGGACAGCTCATATTGTTCATTTAAATTCGAGCTCTTAATCTTTCAAATGATGAGATGACAAGAATCTTGTCCCGATGTCTCGTTTATAAAATTTCAGAAAGCCAGTAAGGATGGCTGAATTAGGACATTGCTAAGGTCGACGAAGCTTCATAATGGTTGAACAAGATTACAAAAATTAGACAGCTTAAATGGCTATCTCATTATTGATTTCCTCTCGATATTGTAATGGAGCTGATGTTCTCTCCCTTGTACAGAATATTTTGATTTTCTTCTTTCTTCTGATCCGGCAGGATGTTCTATAAATTTCACCAAGAATATTGAGGAGTTTGTACTTTACCCAAGGCATATATGTTGTCAGCCTCTGCCATTCAAAGTATAATTGTAGTATGGCAAACAAACTGCCCAGAAAAAGAATTTGAATGACACCACTGAAAGAAGACTGACCGATTCAGTTTCAGACACCAAAGGAAACAACCTTCGTGTTTTCTATAATTTTTGTTTTCGGCAACAGGGGGACTTAATAAGACATTTGACATACCTTTTCTTCATCTTGACATTGTTCTGCACGAACCGAGAGTAATAATGACGGTTTAATCGGAACATTTCCTTTCGATAAACTTTCTTTGTATGGGAAAATCTTCGGTCCCCAGGTCACTCTCCGAATTTAAGAGAGCATATCAGAGATGGGGAAGAAAGAGTCCTACCATCAACCAATTCATTGCTGATATTGTCTTGTTGGGTATGTCTTGTAGTTCTTAAGTTTGTCCAAAAATCTCTTGTTCATTCAACTTCTGGCATTCTGCAACTTCTTGGTGTAGGGTATGTTTGGAAGATTTCTTGCTTCTGTAAGAATGCTTTTCATCAGAAAGTTAAAAGGCAAAAGGAGAAATGATTATTCTATGCGCTGTTTGGTTTTTTGCAAAGAACAGAAAAGTCAACCGACAGACAAGGACTTGTTTTTTCTTTTCTTCTTTTTTTGGGTGATTTTCTAAAACATTTTGATGGAACGGGAACATTTTTTTCTGATTAAAAATATAAATAGGCTTGCCGTACTATTTATAAAGAGATAAGTGAATTTATAATATGAGTCTTAAGTAATATCTTCCTAATTTTTCATATAATTACCGACTTGTTCGATTCTTGTACAAGCACTCTTCGGAACCGCTTGCCGTCAAAAGACCCATCCTATTGAGGTAGGATCATGACATGGATCAATTGTAAGCACGTAATTCTCGTCTTAGCAAACTCGTCATTATTTACATGAAAAAAAAAATTAAGAGAAAGGAAAATTAACCCGAATACACAGTATGGAAAAGTTAATTTGTTTATTTGACTTCGACTTAAATAAATACCATACCCATAGCTTCTTCTCAATGGTTTATTTTGATTTTTTAAATTACAATAAGCAGAATATATCATAATTTAGAAAAATAAAATTGATTAAGTTAATCTTAGGATAGAGATATTTTAAATTAATTGAGCCTGATAGTCTCCACTCTCCCATCACATCTTATATAGGCTCCTCCTCCTCCTATCCTATTCATTTGATTCCTTCCCCAACCTCCCACTGCTTCACCCTCACCTCTCTCTCTCTCTCTCTCTCTCTCTCTCTCTCTCTCTCTGTGAGAGAAGCTCCATTACAATTTGCAGGTGGGTTGGCCTTGGATTAAGTTCAAGGAAAACCTTGTCACTGTCAAGAAAACGTTATCTGACAGCATTTGCACGTGTAGGTGGGGCTAGGCCGAGGACTGGGAGCAGTGGGGACTTTCTCACATGGGAAGACACTCTTGCTGTTACAAGCAGAAGCTTAGGAAAGGCCTGTGGTCACCCGAGGAAGATGAGAAGCTCCTCAACTACATCACCAAGTATGGCCATGGCTGTTGGAGCTCAGTCCCCAAACTAGCAGGTGAGGCATCACTTACCAGTCATCTTCATGATCAAAAAGCTTCCTTTCTTTTAATTATGCCCTCAAGCCCAAGCCTATGTAAATTAGAGGGTAGTAAACACTAAAACTTTTTGGGTTATCTCGGAATATAATGATAGGTTTGCAAAGATGTGGGAAGAGCTGCAGGCTGAGATGGATCAATTACTTAAGGCCTGACTTGAAGAGAGGTGCATTTTCTCAGCAAGAAGAGAACCTCATCATTGAGGTTCATGCTGTTCTTGGCAACAGGTACATATTATCATTCCATGGCAAATTACCCTTTTCCTCTTTTTTTTGGGGGGGACGCTTTCTGAGAATTCTAATTTGGGAACAAACTAAATCCAACTTATGCATTTACAATTCGTTGTGTGTTACAATGTAATCCAGATGGTCTCAGATTGCAGCTCACTTACCAGGAAGGACTGACAATGAGATAAAGAATTTCTGGAACTCTTCCCTCAAGAAGAAGCTGAGACAAAGAGGGATTGACCCCACCACTCACAAGCCCCTCTCCGAGGTTGCTGATGAGGATGATCATAAAGACAAAGACAAGCTCATCATTCCCAGTATCACCCAACACAACAACAATGATCATCATCACCAGAAACCATCTAGTACCACTGCATCATGCAAGAAACCAATCCTCTTTGAACCAGCATTGAATACTAACAATCTCAAAGATCATCATCAGCAGAATTCCCTTGAAGTTCCTGCTAGCTCAGAGATGAGGCCTTATTCTGAGATGTTCATGAAAGATTTCACTTTCCAGCAGCCGAACATGAACTACGGGACAAGCCTTGGGCTTTCGGCTAGTCTTCATCAAAGCAGCAACTCTCTCTGCTTCCATCCAAGGTCATCATCTGAGAATATAATGTCTCAGTTCAGTTCAGACATGAGCACACCCAGTATCATCTCACCCACCATGTCGAGCTCAAGCACCGCCGTCCCAGTAACTTCGGCTCGTGTAAAGCCTTCCATTAACCTTCCCTCGGAAGTTGCTTTCATGGTCAACAATGGAGTCCAAAGTTGGGAAGCATCATCAGGTAACAATAATTGTAGCAATGGAAGTCCTAGCGGCAATGGATTAATAAGCAATAATAGCAGCATCAATACCACCGCATTCTTTGAGAGCAACTATTGTTTCTCATGGGGGTTCGGTGAGGGTACTAATACAAGCAGGTTCGAAAAGCAAGTCCCCTTTCACCACCCCATAGGAAGCAATTCAACAGAAGAAAACAACAGCAAATGGGCTGAATATCTCCAGCTGCCAATCTTGCTGGGAAGCTTGACTCAGAATAACAACGAAGCCTCTCATCATCATCAACCGGTCTCACCCTTCCAGTTGATGGATGGGCTGAACAACATTCCTAGTTGGCAACAGAAACATCACCAACAAGCCAATCCGGACACTTTTGCTGCCGCTGTTCTTGGTCAAACTCTTTAGCTTTTTTCTTGATAAACACAAAAAACCCCCCATGAAATTATGCAATATGGTTAGAGAGGAGTGTGAATGCATAGTTCTTCTTTTGTTTTCTGTAAATGAGTCTCACAGACAGATTTTTTTTCCCCTTGCATCCCTTTTTCCCCTTTTGTTACAGAAGATAGGAGATTAAACTGAGCCATACCCACATGTGTTGATATGTATCCATTCTGCATGAAATTATATTCAGATAATAAGGCTTCTGTTCTTGGTGTTTCTTTGCATGTCCATTATTATATTGTCTCATATAATTTTTCTGGTCTTCTCCCCAGTTGTAATCTTCTTGTTCGGTTGTCAAATAGCGAATTTATAATTCTTTTTGTATTGTTAATGAGTATAATTAAAAGAAGAAGACCTTAGCTGTATTGTTCCACAACATTTGATTAGTCCATTGAGACAGCGACCCAATTCGTACCAATATCCTTTTCATCTTTTGGCTTCCTGGGACACCTTTGCCTCTCTCTTATTATCCATCTCTTTCTCTGGTTTGATCCCTTTCACATAGAAAAAATCCCACCTCCCACCTTGATCTGCTTACTTTTCTTGTCGTTTGAAAAGGGAAAAGAAAAAACGAAGAAGTGCAATATGTGCAAAGCAAGCAATTGCAATTTCTCAAAAAGAGAAAAAAAAAAAAAAAGCTTAAAAACTTGGTAATCGGATGGGGGTCGCATCATTGTCTCCCTAAAGATGGTGATAGTTTTCACCTTTTTCCACAACCTTTAAGTCTCTTCACCTCCCCTTCAGGGCCTAACGGTCGAATACCAGCGGCGGGATCCAATTGAGTCCGAGCCGACATGGTGCGAAGTTCGAGCTCGACTCGATTCATAAACCCGACACTTGAAATTCGACTCAAAGTTGATTGAGTATGTTTTTCCCTGCTCGAACTCGATTTGACACGAAACTTGACATATTCAAAATCGATTCAGCTTGATTTGATTTTAAGTATATGAAATTCAACATGCTTAAACTTTTTTCTCACCCAATCAAACTTGTGTCGACTCAAAATACCGACACTCAACCTTTTTTCTCTGTGTTTGAAAATATTTTAAAAAAGTGAAAGTCTAATGGCATAGTAGAAGATAAATTAATCTTATTTTAACATTATCTGTCACCAAAACAAAACAAAAAAGCTATATGAAACAATGAAATACTCGATTAGACTCGTGAGCCATTGAGTTAAGTATCTTTAGGATCAAACTTGACTTGACTATCTACTTGAGCTCGAAAAAAATCGAGCCGATCTTGAGTTTGGCGATGAGTCGAGTATGAGTAGCTCATGAGTGCCTCGACTCGCTGGCGGCCTTATCGAAAACCATCAACTATGCATGTCTTTTCTGTCCTTTTGCTTCTCAATTTCCTAAATTTATCCCATATTAATGGTGATGTCATTTCTTTGTATGATGAAAAAAAGGGAGATAGATTAATTACTTTGCACTTCTAAAACCACATAAAATAATGTTACACATAGGCTTCGTTTGTTTCGCTAAATGTGAAAAATTTTAAAAATATTTTTATAAAAAGAAGCGCTTGCATCGCTTAAAATATTGATGGAAAATATTTTCATTACCGACCATAATTTATGTCTAAATAATTTCTTGGATGATATAAGTATTTTTCATTTATTTATTTTTATAAATAATACAAGCAATCATTTTAAAATGAAGATGCGTGAATATCTGTAGAGAACAGTGAAAGGGTATGTATGGTGATCCGCCACTCCTTACCACGTTTCTCGAGTGGACAAAAGGAAAAAGGAAAGGAAAAAACACATGTTGAGACTTTTCATGGGGCATCGACTGATGTGGAAAAAAGAAAAAGGAAGGAAAAAGAATTAAATCTACTTTTGGGATGAAAATATTTGACTCCTTTTTAGGGAAATTACAATAAATAGAGCGCCTTCTATATCGGCCAAAAATTAGGATGCTAGAAAAATAAAACCAGCGCCGCCCGTGGTGATGAGAAATAGCAAAAAAAAAACATGAAACTAAACTAATAAAGAGTAAAACATTACGTAAAGAAAAGGATATACGAAAGGGTTTATTAAGTAATCGATAATTATTTTGAATTTAAATTTAGAAAGTTATAGAATTTCATTCTTTTTCGACTTATTCCGGCCCCGGATTAGAATAATTTTGTTAGGTTTAGCCTTCATCTGGTTTTTTCAGCTTAATTAATTTATGCAATTTGGGCCAAGTGATGGTGGGGTCACCACCATTCATTCTCTATTAGGCATGCCCAGCAAACCTCCGCATCTCTGCATGTGCGCACCTCAATAAAACAAAAGAACACGAGAAGAATTTCCTGGCATTGGTCTGTCACAATAGAACGTCAACAACAAGAAGCAGCATCAGCAAATTTCAGCATCAGCAAATAAAGAAATTTGCTGATGATGTTATTTTTATGCAAGGGAAAAACATGTACACATGTCAAGGCCTTGAATGGAAGCATGTGAACCAAATTATTGGAGTGAGGTCGGCTGTGGCTGTGGCTGTGGCTGCGGCTGTGGTCCTACAGACTTGCAAATAATGCCCCAAGATACCAAAGAAGGAAAAAAAAGAAAAAAAGACAGGAAATGAATGCATATTGAACAGTTATGAATGGATTGATTGAAAGGTTAATGCAATGAAAAACACCAAACTGATACACTTATGACAAATTTACTCCAAATTAATTTTTTTGGCCGCAACAACTCCAAAATGGTACACTTGTGATGAATTTACCCTCCGTTAGGTTTTCATTAAATTTTACTGTCAAATTGCTGAGTTGGATAATACGTGACAGTTGACAAGCGTACCAGTTTGGAGTTTTATCCTCATTTGTCATAGGTGTACCGGTTTATAGTTTTTTTACAATATTAACCAAATTTAACATAAACTAACGAAGGGTAAATTTATCACAAGTGTATCATTTTTGGGTTTTTGTGGTCAAAAAATTAGTTTGGGGTAAATTTATCATGTGTATATCAGTTTGGGGGTTTTTTGTGGTAAAAAATTACTTTGGGGTAAAATTATTACATATGTACCAGTTTGGAGTTTTTTGTGGTATTAACCCTTGATTAAATGGTTTATAAGCTCGAATTAGATGCTTTGTATCCATAGAAATTGATCGAGCCGAGAGTTCGGTCGCCTTGCACTATTCAAGAAAGGTAAATAGAATAAGGTTTCGAGAAAATTCATTCATCCTTATACTTCATTTCCTTGTCGTGCGTCGTATGCTGCTCATTTTTCATGTACTCGAAAAGAAATAATAGAAAAAGGACTCCCGTATAAAGATCGTGTTGTCGAAGAGTTGAACAATGAAAATAGATGGCGAATACTTGATTAGATTGATAAGGTCTTGTCGGAACGAAGTTCAAAGTCCACCGGTCTGTTAGGTTATCTTAGTTTTTTTGTTTTTTGGTCGGATTTAGGTTACCTTAGTTGCATGCTTCCACTTGACACTTATCATAATGATAAACGGCTCATGCATGTTTGCGAGTCTTGTAGGACGAGGAGCTTTATTTGGCTTGGCCGTGGGAAATTGACTTATTAAAAAAAATGATATTGGCAGGCTAAGTATGAACAAGCATAGGATGCCCTGAAAATCCTTATCAAAGAAGACTTTAACAAATTTTTCGATTTTTACATAGCAATATATTCGCTTCAAAGAAGATTTATACTTATCTGTAGGCTAGTTTTAAATATGAGGAATCTTCTAATAATTCTCCAATAATTCAAGACAAATGTCAACTCTGCCACAACCATTGCAGCTGCAGCTTTTGTTCTGTAGATCTGCAGCTGCAATTCTGACCTTTTCTTTTCATTTAATAATCTGCTTAATTTGTGAAGGTGTACAGGCAGATAACAGCATGGTTTCTTTACAAATTTCACAACGTTATTGTTCATCAACTTGTGACAAATTCTAAGGTTGACAGACCATTGTATCATAGGTCTTAACTTATTTTGCATTGACTTTGTGAGTTTCGATTCTAACAACTTTTCATACATGGCAGTTTAGGGGACAGTCCAAAATTTATCTTCGCGTGCTACATTAGTCTATGTTAAAAAAGTCTACTTGAAACATCGGTCATTTACTTCGATTGGGAGAGATTCGAGAGGAATCACTTCCCTGACCTGGAGAAGTTATGTTGAGCCACCAACGTCTGATTTGAGACAAATGCGCAAAACATGTGTTTAGTTGCTTACCGACTTGACTAAGCCTTTATATTATTGGGAATTTTGAACTTTGACGATTGATTGAATTTGAATAAGCCCATTGCAGCTTGTTGGCAAAAAAATTTATCATATGCCAATATGCCACTCCATTGCACATACCTGTAGCCCAAGAAGGATAATTTTTCTTGCTTTTTTTTAAATATAGAACTCAGAGTACTATTTTTTATAACATATTGCTCAGATGATGGGAGAGCTTGATTTAAGCACTAGCATGCTTTCAAGCTCTTTTTCTTTCTCTGATCATCAGAAGATAATGCAGGCAAGTCAAAAGCCTTTTGGTGGAGATTGCTTGGTTAAGGGTGACAACTCAAGAAAGATGTGAGAGTTCTCTTTTTTGCTTCACAAAATGGGCCATGATCTGAGCAAAGGTCTCCATAGCACAGTAAACTCACGCAAGAACAGATCGTTTGCCTGTCCCAATCTTTCTTCTCATAAAGTATGTGAATAAAAGCATAAGCATCAGCCGATGTCGACATCCAAAGAAGAAGATTAGCCACACCAAGCAGCTAATATGCGGAATGATACTATTACGACAAGAAGAGCCTGATGACGACTATCTTATTCTTCTTGAGTGTATTTCATTAATGAATTGTAGATCTATCCGAAACCAATATATGAATTGCTTCATGGATTTTAGTAAATGAATGGCAGCAAAAATGATGGCCTACTCGTGAAAAACCAGATTGTGGCAAGTTTTGTCACAAGGGTAGGCGCAATCAATGGCCTTGATGGCTGCTCGATCAAAATACCAATCACCAACAGCTAGAGCTATTGCCTGCAGGTCAAACAATCTCGTCAGATGCTAATTGGCAAGAATGAAATCTTGCATTTTTTTTTTGTAAGGCTAACGTAAGAAAAGAATCTGAGGCTTTGAGTTTCATAATAAGCTGCACAATAAGTGGATTAGCTAGAACTTAAGCTGCGGCGTACCTTGTTTCCTATTGTAGGCGAATCATCGGCAAACCATGTGTCCTGCCTCTCAGACTGGCAGTGAGCAAAACATGAATTTATGAAAAGGCCATTTTGTCTGGAGCTGGCAAATTGTCTTATTACATTCAGCATCTGATTTCTGAAGCCTGTACACCAATCAAAGAAAGAGCTCAGTAAGAAATTATCAAGTTGATCGATTAGAAATAGAAATTCTCAAAAGTTAGTTTAACAATAGAAGTCACCTTGCAGAAACTGAACCTGCGACTGGGAACACTTTGCATTGTTTAATGTGCATTGACGCCAATATCCATGAGGATCAGCTGATGGGGGAGCTAAACTTGCTTGCAGCTGATTCAAGATACAAAGAGTCATATGGTTCATTCAGTCCATTGATGCCTTTTTTATGCAACTCACGGACAGATTAGAATTATATGTTATACACGTTGAATTTTCTGCTGAAAGAAGCAATTACCTGCCAAGCATCATAGGCTGCATTGAGAAGAAACAGTGGTGTTTTGATGCTGGCGATCAGGTTTTGCGGGAAGAAGCACTGGAAAGGATTCGAGCAAGATGAATGAAGTTGGTGCAGTCTAAAACAAGTATGCTGAGCTTTCACTCAGTCTTATCTAAGCAAAGCAACAATGGAGAACTACGGAAGAAGTCGTACCGATGTTGGATCAAGATGGTTAGTACATACACGTGGAAGATTTGGTTTCACCCCCTATAATTTCCCCAGTAGCAAAATCAGATAATCCATACCAAAAGGAGAATTAAGGCAAGTAGAAGCACACATATTGTCAGGAAAACATTGAAGCATACCTGCAAATTAACCACACCACTGTACATGTTTCTGAGAGTGTGACCACCAGAAACATCAGCCCTGCAGTTCCATAGGTGCAGCACAGAGTTGTGTTTCAAAGATTTTATTCAAGTTATTTATCATAGATAAGTGGAGGAGAACTGCTAGGAGCATTGAAGTTACTTACGCATCAAGGAACATTCCAGCATCACTCAGGCACTTCACTTTTGTTGTTCCAAGAAATAAATCCCGAAACTCATCGCAATGCAATATAGATGCCAGGCCTCCAGCAGAGCACCCAGAAAGAAGAGCCTGAAGACGGTAGACCATCACAACAGAATCAAGCCAAGTTTCCCATAAAGCGGATGAAGACATAGAGGGAAAAAGAATATATGTCCAATGCATAAAATAACCTGCTTGGCATAGCGCATGCCCTTTGACATCAAATCTTCCATAGCAGCTAACCATATACGTTGTCCTCTAAACTGCAGCTGGGCAGCCTGAACAGAATCATGAAAAAACTTGTGATGATGGTGATCAAATAACTCTAGCTATGGAAAAAAGATATTACCCACAGACCTGACTTTGCAAATACCAGACATGTTCCACAGACATTGAACAATTGAAAACAGTACTTATGTCTGAGTCTCCTCTCCTATCAATTCTTCCAGCCTTTGCGGATTGATTAGCATGAAAACTTTAAGGCAACAAAGTGTTGGACAAATTTTACCTAGAGGAGCAGATGAACGCTTGGACATAGATTCTGATAATAAAGAATGCAGATATATGCTTTACTGGGTGATGCCTTCCACATTGAGAGAAACTGTATTCCTAGAACCATTGTTTAACCCAAATTACGTAGTCCATGGATGCTATCACGAAACCAAATTATCTCGATATGTTCATCTTTTATCAGTAGCACTATGTTCAAACAACATGGGAAGTTCATTTTCTTTAAAGAATGTCCAGAGTACCACTAACTTTATCCTCACTGTCCCCAGCAAATGAGGCACCGTCGCAATAACGGAGCTTCACTCTGTTCCAGTTGAAAAAATCTGCGACCGGCATAACAGAATGCTGAGTGACTGCTAACAATAGGTGAAAAAGCCAGCAATATACGTCGGAAAAGTTCGAATAGTACCAGGATTCTCTTCAGCTTTATTGCTCAGTATTCCTGTGAAAGGAAGCTGCTTTTCCATGTACGTAGATGATCCACGTCTGGTTTTCTTGCGGTAAATGCAAGATCGAACACTATTACACCATCCTCCACCCTGCAACAATATGCATTACATTGTCAAGTTACTGCTGACAGCATCGATTCAGTTCAGATGATCGATGCAGAAAACTTTTAGGTATTCACTATTCAGCTTAGATAGGACCCAATAAGTTTGTGGTAGATAGCTGCAACTCTGAGTCTGTTAAAAACTGGAAATGGCAACAATAAAGGTTCAAGATTTTTCACGATCCTCATTTAAATAAAATTTGATTGGCCATGACCTAAACTGAATCAACTGTGGCTGCTTCTTTTTATCAAACAAGTTAACTACGAATTCAACTTTAGCAAAAATGAGTAAAACCAGGAACATCCTTTTTAAGCCATTACGAGTAGAAATTATAAAGATAAGTGGCAGACCTCCAATTGAATGAGCCAACTGTTGGCTGCTGACCCGTATCCTCGGTGCAAATGATACCCCGGTAAAGTTCCGTCCAGACAGACTACAAGATACAAAGGACAGAGATTAGGCCAAAGATGGGATGAGTATACTCACTTCAGTGCCTAGACCAAGAGCTTCTCAGATTAAAAGAGTGCCTCCACACACGAAGTGCGTTACCAAATTGGCAAGGAAGTACTAAGTTCGGTAACATTTGGCCAGTGAATGAACGAGCCCAACAATCTTTGAAGGTGAACACAACCAGGTTGGTGTAGGCTCGAGTCAAGTACTAGTAGGGGTTGCAAAAGGAAAAGGCAAAAACACATCATGAATGCTCAGGGACAAAAAAAAGTAGAAATAGAAAAACAGAACCAAAGTAAAGGATCGGTTGAGAAGTATTATGACCAGCCCATAAAGAGAGCGAACTAAAGGAAATCACTGAAGTCGTGTAGTAGGTTTAGCTGCCTTGTTCAGTTATATGTAGTAAATGCAACGAAGACGTACACCCCATAAAGAGAGCGAACTAAAGGAAATCAAGATTCCTGAGCGTATGCACCACCCACAAGGCCACAAGAACTCAATTGGCAGCTAAACAGTGACTGAAATATACAGAACCTGATGCACAATTTTAGTTGGTTTTACCATAACATGAGAAATAGAACCAAAAAGGAATGCAAATCCATCAAATGCAAGGACAGGAAAAGAAGTTACCAGCCACAGTTCAGTCCAGCATGAGCACAAAAAAATGAACTCAAAGCGAAGGTGATAGAAGATAGCAGGAAAATCAGGTGCAGAAATTACTGAAAGAAGAAGAGGCTAACAACAGTTACCAGCTCCTTTAGCTCCAGCACTCGTAATGAGAGTGAGTCCAACCATGACTGGATTATTAACTTGAGAAACTCCATAATATTCCAAATATGGAAGCTCCGTTCCGTTGAAATGAAGAAGCTCGGACCCATCAACCACGTCCCAAGAAACCACTCCCATGACCACCCAAAACCAGAAAAGCTTCATTTTCATGCTCTCCCTGCCCCTGACTCTAGAACCCATTTCAAGGGAAGATGGTGGAGAGACAAGATCAGCAAAAAGCTCGCAACTTCGCCGGTATAAGTGCACAAACTTAGTGCATTGTAGCAATCTCCCAAAATGGAATCAATGTTGTTTTAAGGAAAGAAAAAACAAATTGAGTCTTAAAGCAGCTGCTGCTGTGTATGTGTGTCTGATAGAGAGAGAGGGAATTTTGTGGGAAGAAGAGAACAATGTAGTATTGCCGGGCATTTTAATATTAAGAATGAAAATAAAATAAAGTATGTCTGAATGTACTTTTGGAATCTTGTGTTGGATTCAGCAGAGTAAAAGAAAGCTAATCTGACAGCTACAGTTGTTTTTAGTATTTGACAGATGCTTTGTGACCTTAGGATGCGGATCTGCTCAAGCCAGGACGTGTTGATATTCATGTTTCGTTTTTGGTAATCAATCTATCTCACCTTGCTATGTTACATCAAGGATTTAATAGGGTTGAACCCACATTGTGATGTGATCTTCTCTCCTTTTCTTAGGCTTTTAAAGATCATAATCCTTCCTGAGAAGCCTCTATGGTTAGCTATGAAAAATAATTCTATCTAATACTTAAGAAGTGTTACGTATCAAAACTCACACTTTCATTAATAGAGATGATCGAGGAGTTCTTTCTTTATGCAACACGAATAGATATATCATACACATCTACAAGTCTAGCATTCTTCGCTTTAATAGAAACACGAAACCATCAGCATCATGTGTAACGCATGATCAGGTTCTCGTGTCGTGATCTCTCGTTTGCTTGATCTGTTCTCATGTTTCGAGAGAATCTCTTGAATCAAAACAACACAACAACCAAGCCTCTTTTTATTATTTTTTTTTAGGCAAGGGAAAGGAAATTTGGGCAGTTATAGCATAACAAGCCTGGGAAAAGTGGCTGCTAGGTCGGTGCCATTTTGTTCGAAAGTCTCTAATTTTGACTCTGCCGACAAGTAAGAGAAGGTGAGAGCAGCCTCAATTTCAGACCTTATGATTTCAGTGGGCAAAGATTGAGAAAGGCAAGTCTACAAAGACAAAAGAGCTTTCGCTTTCGTTGAGGGCCGATGGTGCCAACTTTTGAGCGGGTCCTTGTGTATACATCCCGATCCCAAGTTGCTAATTGGCGTTTGCACATGAAATGTGTGTTGTGCCAATTCGAATCCTTCTTTCGATTCCAAACTTCTACCCCACAATTTAGTCTGTCCTCGCAACTTTGTGGTAAGATGCCCGAGAACTAGCATGCCGTTACATCGAAACACCACCCTTTGGTTATCTGGTAGGCGATGAGTTTGCACGATTAGATGGCCCCATGCCCTAATAGTTTGTCAAGCATGATGATCAACATTTGTGTCTGATCACAATGGTCAAGTTGTAGGATCCACGTCGGGGCCATTGTTGACATATTGTAAAGTATATTACTCTTTTCTTGTGTCCTAACCTAACAATTCCATTTTTCCTTTAAGACTATCATTTAGGATGGAATACATGATGATACCTAATTTTCCTTTATAAGTCCATATTTATGAGCTTTGATATGACAAAATGCATAGTCTCAAGAAGTGCTACCCAGCTAGAAAACGGGTCTTCATATTGAAGAGCTCTGCAACATCTAGAAAAGTTCATAAATCCACCCTTCACACACACTTCCAAAAAGGTTAAAAAGACATCAACCGTTTGATAGATCCGTAAATCGAGCTTCAGCCTTAGTAGGATCGTAGTAGTTCATCGAAGCCCATCACATCTCTCTTAAGAAAGAGGCACACTTTACATCGATCACCGTCGGGAAAGAAAGAAAAAAGAAAGGGTAGAGGGGGACTGTGCCGAGATCGAAGGACACTTCTTAAGGCGTCCGACCATCACTAACGTCGATCGTCGTAAACACATCGCGAGAGTTACATCATCAAACATAAACATCCATCTGGGCTTGGAGCAAAATCAAGGGAGTTAAGTACAGATGGGCAGGGTAAATTTCATTTTGGTAGGAAAAAGATGGCGCGCGCGGGAAATTGGAGAAAGACAACGTGTTTTCACATGCTTACATGCACAAAAGATGGTGGCAGTGGTGTAATCATAGATGACATGAAGTTAGGCATGCACGTGAGGGCATGGTCCCGTGATCACGTGCAAATTCTCTCTCTGTCGTCTCTGTTTTGGGTTTTAGCTGGACCGCAGCAACGCAGGTAGTGACATAGAATGACGTGAAATCTACGTCTTTGTCAGTCGGGGCCATGTTCTCGTTTCTCCCGTGGTCGACAATCATCCGTCGCACGACGTGGTGCGTTGCATGATTTGTCGTCCCCATTTTCTCCTCTCGGTTTCCATGTCTTTTTCCCTCAACCAATTGTGCGCGGGGCAATTCAGTCGGGATCGATCCTCTGATTAAGGTTGAGCTAAGAAATCGCCCGAATTAGACTGAGCTGACTGACTCTAGATGTGAACTCGTTCACCTAGATCGCATCGATTGTTTTCTTTTTTATTTCTTACAAACTTGAAAACCCTAATCTCATCCTTCACAGACCTCGCTTACAACTCGCGCTCACTCGCGCCTCTTTCACAAAGATGAAAACCCCAATCCCTTTCTTTACAAATTCTCGGTCATGACTCACGCTTGCCCATGCTCACAAGTCGCGACACTCGGTCGCTCAATCTCATGCCTCTCGCAGCCTCGCTCAATGCTCATGACGCTCACTCTTAGCCACACCCTCTCGCCTGAGTCACCTTGACGCCTCCCTCTCACTCGAGTCGTGTCCCTCTCGCTCGAGCCTCTCTCTCGCGGTCTCATCTCGAGTCTTGACTCTCGCCTCCCTCTCTTGCTCTATTTTTGGCCAATCGCAATCTCAATCGCATCTCATCAAGGTAACTATCCAAATACTCAGTTTTTCTGCCATTCATCGTACACATTATATAGGCTAAGCATGTGCAATCTACATTGTTGGGTTTAACGAAAAAGGGCGGAATTTAACATCCTTCTCATAAAAAGATGCTTTTAACCAAAAAAGAAAATGGACATGTCGGTTCCTTGGACCCACCCAAGAAACGAATCGAACCGATCAAATTCTAGGATCAGGTGGGTTGATTCTCAATTCCACAAACTAGGAACCCGTCTCTCTGATCCGGTTCCCGATTGCAGGATAACTCAGGAACCAATCGGCCCTATTGATTATCGTCACATCATAGACCCGTTTACCATGTCGGTGAACTCATGATCAGCCCGTGTCCTGAGAACTCATGACCAGCCCAAGAAGGCTGGCGGGTTGCTTCGTCTTCTGGTCTCTCCGTAACCGGGCCTTCATCGCTCCAGGCAAAGCAGGAGCTTGAAGGGCTATGAGCCCACGGAGGCTACAGAGCGCCATTGATGGGCTCCATCAAGAATTCCGCCGCGGACCATGGAGGACACAGCCCATCCCATCCACGTCCCACGCCGAGCTCACACGCGCGAGCACCGCCCGCACACGGCGGCGCACCGGGCGGGAATCGGAGCGGAGCGTGTCCATCTCGAGTCTCCTCCTCCTCCTCCTCCCTCTTTCTCAGTTCCTCTCCTTCACCCCCTCAACTCAGCACAGCTCTTGAGAAGAGTTTCTTCGTGGGGGCATTTTCCATCCGTCTTCGTCCTCGAGATGGGTATAAAGGTCGGCCCGTCTTCACGCTCTTTCGATTTTCTTCCCCACTTTTCCCTTTTCTGGGGTTTACCCATTTGAAAGATTCATCATGCTTTGTAGGGTTTAACGAAGCTGCTCGCTGACAACGCTCCCAAGGCCATGAAGGAGCAGAAGTTCGAGAGCTACTTCGGCCGCAAGATCGCCATCGATGCCAGCATGAGCATCTACCAGTTCCTTGTTCGCCCTCTCTCTCTCTCTCTCTCTCTCTCTTACTTTCTTTCGCTGATGATGTCTGTCTTTTGATGTTGCTATGTGCACGAATGTGTGATTAAATTTGTGGGTTTTGTGTGGGAAATGCAATGGTTTGCAGATTGTTGTGGGTCGGAGTGGTACCGAGATGCTCACGAATGAGGCTGGCGAGGTCACGAGGTAATGCTATCGATTTCTTGTGGAAATATTTTGTTCTTTTTTGAGAATTCCAGTTTTTTGGGTTGCCCATTTTGATTTTATAACCCTTTCGGTTGTCTTTTCCCTCTTTCGGTTGCTGATACCCGAGTTGCATTTTGTGCTTTTGATGGTTGTAGCCACTTGCAAGGCATGTTCAATCGGACAATTAGGCTCTTGGAAGCTGGAATAAAGCCAGTGTAAATTCTTCTTACTTTGTGGGTTTATATGGTTTGGTTCGTTCGCTAGAACTTCAATTTGTTTTTATGTTAATTGCTGAAGTTGGTTCTTTTACGATCTGTCTAATTATGAAATTCAGCTATGTTTTCGATGGGAAACCTCCAGACCTGAAGAAGCAAGAGCTTGCAAAACGGTATCGGCGCCCATAGGCTGCAATCTTTTGATTTCTGTTAACATAGACATGATCGCGTCGATGATAGTTTTCTTTTACTTTTGGGTATTGATGATTTCAATCGAAACCGATGGTGCAGCTATTCAAAGAGGGCAGATGCCACAGAGGACTTGGAAGAAATCAAGGAGGCATGTATTTTCTTTTTTGAAATCTCTTTTAATCCTATTTATTTTCATTCTTTCAATCTTCCTTTTTTTTTGTAATGTAGCTCAAGTGGCTTGGCACATGATTTTCTTGTTTTTGCAGATTGGAAGTAAAGAAGACATTGAGAAATTCAGTAAGCGAACAGTGAAGGTACGTTACTGGCGTGCATTTCTTTCCCTGTGTTATGTGTACTAAGTTCTTGAATCTAAGTCCACTAATAATCGCTGTCAGACTACTCATTTCATATCTCCACCAGAAATAGTGGAGCTCTACTGGACCAGAAAGTACACAATATTGCGGGATTGTCATGTGGTGATCAATTTCTTATGTATGTCCTACAGGTTACAAAGCAGCACAATGAAGATTGCAAAAGACTCTTAAGACTCATGGGAGTCCCTGTTATTGAGGTGACATATCTTGGCAGTTGACAAGTAAATAATGCCATCTCCAAATAGCAAATAGTATGAACGATTAAACATGTTGTAACAGCTCTTCTTATACTTTAGGCTCCGTCTGAAGCGGAGGCTGAGTGTGCGGCGCTTTGCAAATCAGGAAAGGTATGTAATTTTACACGATCATATTGGAGCTGGTTCCTATTGTACTTGTGATGTCGACTACCATTTTGCTGCATAAAGTTTTATCTGCCTTTGCTTTTGTTCTGTACCTCATACCTTAGGAGCTCTTGTTGATGATTTTCAGGTGTATGCTGTGGCTTCTGAAGACATGGACTCCCTCACCTTTGGAGCTCCAAGATTTCTCCGTCACTTGATGGATCCCAGTTCAAGAAAAATTCCAGTCATGGAATTTGAAGTTGCAAAGGTAGTAGAACATCTAACTTAAAGTTGATAACTAATTTTTTTGTGTAAAAGAGTATAGTTGATATCTCTTTTTTTTTGTCTTTAAAAGTATATCATTAAGAGGCACCGAGACGATGCCAACCCATGTACAAATTATCTACGAGTTGATATCTCTTATTCCTTTTGCCGTTTCATGGGGAATTGCTTTCTTCCTATACAGATTTTGGAGGAGCTAAATCTGAACATGGATCAATTCATTGATGTGTGCATCCTATCTGGATGTGATTATTGTGAGAGTATTCGAGGTATTATGGGATTTGGATTAAGTTATCCCTTTTCATTCTTCTACTTGGATTGAGGAATTTAGCTTTTTGTATGATGATAAATCTATATCACAGGCATTGGGGGTCAGACTGCTTTGAAGCTCATCCGTCAACATGGCTCAATAGAAAATATACTGGAGAACATAAACAAAGAAAAGTGCGTTACTTTTTCATATTTCATGTTTATGTTTCTAATTGAGCATATATTGATGAGATTCTTGATGACCAGTTTATTTTGATTTTCTTTAGTGACCATGCTTTGTCCAATGAGCCCATGTTTGTCGTGGACATGCACTTTCTTGCAATCGACATTGCTCAGATTGCATCATGCAAATCCACCCAATTTTCTAACCACTGTTGTTTTGCTCTCATGAGGAGGCACTCATGTATTCTTCCTCGTTTCTGATAAGTTTTTTTTTTGGTCTTTGTGACTTAGGTATCAAATACCAGATGACTGGCCATATAAAGAAGCACGGAAACTTTTTAAAGAGCCCTTGGTGTTTGTGGAAAATGAGGAACCTGAACTCAAGTGGAATGCTCCTGATGACGAGGTGAATGATCACCTAAGCTTGTAACGTTTTTTCTCATTTAAGCATGTTTTCTAAGGAGTTTTCTATGATTTAGGGGCTAATTTCTTTTTTGGTAAACGAGAATGGATTCAACAGCGACAGGGTAACAAAGGTATGATCGTGAAGTTTTTCAGTAGTCACCTTTTCTTTGTGCACAGTAAAAATATGACACGTTATTCATGTTGACTTCATTGATTGAGCTAGGCCACAGAGAAGATTAAGGCTGCCAAGAACAAGTCATCACAAGGACGGTAAGTAATGCTTAAATGATTGATATTTTGGTAAACGTGTTTCTCTTTTAAAGCCTAATGTGACATTGTCTTGTACAGTTTAGAATCCTTTTTCAAGCCAGTTGTCAACATATCTGCACCAATTAAAAGGAAGGTATTGTTCTTTCTCAATGCATTACAACCCTCGGCCTCAACCTAGTCATACTCTTGTTTAATTCTCTCCTGTTGTGTATAAGAGAGGGCTTTCTAATATAATTGCATACCACCATGGATATTTTGTCTATGATGAGAAAGTAGATATAAAAGCTCAGTGCGTTACATTTCTGTGTCATTATTTTCTTTTTTTTCAGTAAGTATGTCATTATTTTCAGCACGTAGAGGTGACTGTATGTGGGCTGCTGAGCATCATTGCTACCTTCATCTTACTCTTGCTTTATTTGTGGGTAACTAAGTCAAAGTTGCAGAAATACAAGCTTCATTTACATGGCTACATGTGTTTGGAGAGTAGAAACGGAGTATCCTTTCCAAGATATAGATATTAGCTTTCCTCTGCTTGAAAATGAGTGAGAACATGTATAGTGGGAGGAAAACATCCCTTGCAATGTCATATTCGATTTCGTCAGCTCTTTCATGCGGCAAAACTCTTGATGCGGTACAGGAAATGCCTGAGGCTCTAAAAGAAAGTGCCAAAAAGACTAAGGCTGCTGGTGGTAAGAAGAGGAAATAGACAGCTCAGCGTACCCACTTTTGCAGACTAACCAACTAACTAACAAGGTGACTTCCTTTATCCCAATATTGTTGCTACTAACTAAAGCATATATCGACAACTAAATCACATAAGACTCTGAACTTGTCTGCTTCCTGCAGTTTGCTTGAGGATGTTGTTCAATGCTCTAGTTTGGCGTGCCTTTCCGTGCTATGCAAGAACCACAAGTATGTAACGTTTTAGGTGGAAGTGGGTTTTTGCATCCTGCAAAATTTAATCTGCCAAATCTATGTACACTATGTCTTGTTTCAGTGAGAAATCTCGTTCCTAAAGTTTTATGCACGATAGTTCATATCGTCTTGATATATGCAGCTTCTTCAGCAGACATGTTAATGATTAATTTCATATCCTATAACGGAAAAAAGATGGTTAGTTTGGTGATCAAATGGGCAATTGCAATGAAGTGGGTGATTGGTTAGGTCATGTTGTTACCTCGACTGGGGATTTTACTTAAAAGGCTCGAAGAGATTTAAGTACCATCCGAACTGAAGAAGGATCCAAGGTGCTATCAACTTGATCATGTCCTTGTCCTGGACCTAATTAATTAGGTGAAATTGGTTTGTCAGGCTCATAAATATTATGAGCAGGTATGTAAGTGTCCTTTTGGGGATTAAAAAGTATTAACTTTCTGGTAGAGCAAAAGATTCTGTTACACTCTCATGCTGATCCTAGTGTTTAGTTGAGGGATGGAGATCTTTAAGGTTTGATTATAGAAAGAGATAATCTCTTCCCAAATCATTGCTGGACAGTGTTGGGCTGGCGCATCTTTGGTTTCGGTATTATTCTGTAATCAAAATGTTGGGAGCATTTGGTTCCAAACATGTGCTCTAATCTTCATCTTCATTGGCAATGGATGAAGTCTGTTGCGTCGTCTTTTCATTTGATGAAAGTTTGATCGATCAATTTCAGTGTACTTCAAAATCTAGAACAAGAAGGTGAGAAACCTAAAGCATCTGCTGATCTTGTTTTCATACACTCTTTACCATTCAAAATTCCTGGTACAGTGGCTACTTCCTACGTACTGGGGAACTCATCGCAAGATTCTACTGATGCCAGTGACTAATTTGTTAAGCGTGACAACGATAGAACAAATGGGCAAAATCAGTCATGTCACATCGATAAGTCAATGACAGCTGCGGCATATGATAAACTATCCTTTACGAGGCATGTATATGAATTATGCTGGGGAGCAGATATCTTGGAAAGACAATAAACATTTGGCAAGGGACGACCCCTTTATTTGTCCTGTCGCCAGAATTTGACATAAGTAAGAACACATGATTTTCGCGAAGGTGGCCAACACCAAGTCATCGTTTAAAGAATGGGGCAGGAGTTCCCATCGTAATCACAATGACGAGGAGGACAAGGGGGAGGAGGACAAGGGGGACGAGGCTTACTACAGCACGTTGGAGGATGGCATGGTGGAGGCGGGCACGGCAAAGGGGGGCACGGTGGAGGGCATTTAGGTTTGGGGCATTTAGGTTTAGGGCATTTAGGTTTCTCGGGTGATTTAGGCTTTGGTGGTGGTCCGACCGATTCGATCTCCGCGCATATCCCACATTTCTTTCTTAGAGCCTTGATCACGCACACTGGATCGACGTTTCCTTTGATAGTTAACATTCCCTTGTCAATGTCTATCTTCATTTCGTCGATACCTGCATATTTGGGTCACAAACCTTGAATTCGTATGTATGTCTTCTTTGATAATCAAGTAATCAATTTGGTTGAGGGAGACTATAAAGAAATTACTCACAACTACATGTATTCTCGTCCACACTCGTTTGGCAAGGTGAGTATAGGAGATCATCATACCTTCGAGTTTGGCGACCGCTTTCATTATGTCCTTCTTGTCTTTCCCGCAATTGATGGTGACCTTTATCACAATTATCTGCGATTAGGACACCGCAAGGCGGAGAGACGCCGCAAGACGGAGAAAGAAGATAAAACTACATCAACAGTTACGAAGATTGATAGAGAGAAAATGCCAATACATATTAGCTCTTGTTCATGGAGGAGGACACGATTTGATTACCTTGACCATGGATGCAGCAGGGGGGTGGACGGAGGAAATATGACCAGCTTCCCTAATTTGCGAAACCAAAAGGCCCTATTTATGCGCTTTACACGACCTGTAAAATTTTATAATTAAGAAGTGAAGAACAGACAAAGTGTTAGGATTCCGCCTAGGATGACTTTGGACGGCCATACACATTATATTATGCAAGAGGAAGGCTGTGACTTTTGCACTGAAACAGTATGGTTTCCAGGACATAGAGATTGAGGAAGGTTCTTTCTTTCCCCCATTTTTTCTTGGTTTGGAGGATGGCGTGGACCAAATTTCTCGAGCGAGTGACGTGTTTTTCGTAGGGAAGTTGATGCATAGATTCAGTGGTCTGGCAAATCAAGCCAATCACAGTGCATATCATGCCTAGGGTCTATATTGTGGGTCCCAAACGATTTGTGATTGGTTTAGTTCCATCAACTAAGTGAAGACTCAGTCACATGTTCTGTGTGGCCGTGCATGATTGAAGACTATGTCTAGTTAGATATGCATGTCGGTATATTCGTATACATACGTATTAATCTAAGGTCATTCCTCTCTGGCAGTGTCGCACACAAAAACCTAGCTCCGACGAGGCGAGACAAAAAAATTTACAATTTATTGCTCGGAAAGGGGTTGTCGTGGACAAAACATAGAAATTCTACGTGAAATATCATAGATGATAACATATATCTAAAAAAACTGCATCAAGTATCAAATGATCGAGAGGGCGATGACCCCCATCTGCCCATCCGTCGGTCCGTCATTGCTCTCCCGAACTTATGTACATGCTTTTGTTTCACATATAATTTTATCTAAGTTTAGAAAGAATAGATTCCTTGCTAGTATTCACTATAACTTACTTTGTCCTTTAGTTGACATATTTTTAATTTAGATAATCTAGTTTAATTCGGCGTATACTGTACCTCAATACTTACACTCTAATGACTTACGCATGCCTCAACGATGTTACACCATCCGAGGAAAGATGTATATCCAAGTGCAGGCTTAATATTCAACATGTCATTGACCAAAATTACCTAGGAAAATTGTCCAAAAAGTCCTAAATCTATTACACTTGTGCTAATTCAGTCCTAAATCTTTCAATGATGTAAATTTAATTATAAACATTTTTACAATCTGTCAATGCAGTTATTTTGGCCAATTTTGGTCAGAAATCGCTGACGTGGACGCCGGCCGTCCTATGTGGTATGACTGGAACTGATGTGGATAATTTTTGTAATTTCCTTTAATTTTCTGATTTTTTTTCTTTTTTTCTTTCCTTATCTTTTTTTCTTTCCTTCTTTTCCAAATTGCTGTTCAACCTTCTTCTTTCTTGGTCCTCCATCTTCACTGAACATAGAAGCAAAAAAGGGAACCAATCTTCTTCTTACTGTTGGTAGTTTGTTTGTAAGACAAACAAAGATGTGCCTTGTCCTTCCTTGTTCCACATTGAAAAGATGTGAGTGGTAGTTATTTTGCGGTTATTTTACAAACTAAGAAGTGCGTAACATCCGGAAATTTCGAAATAATATGTATGTGACATTGGAAGTTTTCCGTGTTCAATAATGACACTTAGATTGTACAGCTAAGTATTGTTTAGCTTAGTATTCGTATGGATGAGTAGAAATCTTTGTTGAACCATAAATTTATGAGGCGCGGATTCGGGAACGTAATCATTCCAAGTTCGACATATTGAAAAAAATTATAAACGTTGTTGTGTACATTAATAGTCTAGCGGTGTTAATTAATTTACCGTCGTCTTAGTAGTCAATGTGTGATATTATTAGTTTAAACTCTAGTTAATTAGTGTTAATAATTTATTATGTGCTAATTGGTGTTAAAGGGAGTGGATTTTCTGATTTCAATATAATTATTCTCATAAAATCTCCCTTAAAGATACCAAGAACTCACGTGGTAATTGAGGGATTAATGCATGACCACATGCCACATTTGGAGCATTCAAGCATGCCACGTGTTCTTCTTAAGCTAAGCTTCTTACACTAATAAGACACATAGCCATAAGCCATCATTACCTTGGCTATTAGTCATCTCTAACAAGTCTTGATTTCTCACACTTGGCTGTAGATTAAGTGAAGATTTGCCACTTGTGACTTCATGCATTCTTCAACCTAAAATCTACTCCTACGTTTCACTTTCATCTTGGTAACATCGAAAAGAATTTTCATCTTGGCCGTAACTATCTTCTCCACCTTCAACTCTAAAAAATAATCTACTTTCACCACTAACCAATCCAAAATATACAAAAGCTCTTTAACTTTGGGTGTTTAGATTTTGCGCGAGGTAAGTGAAGACTCTAGAGTTAAGTTAAATTAATCTACTTGAAACTTTTAACTTGGATGGTTGCGATACGCCATTTTGAAGTGCTATCATATGGTAGATTTGGTGGTTGTTGGATTTGTTTTGCTGGCCTTGTACATGTTCAAAATGTGTGTAAATTGTTTTCTTAAAGTATGGCATTGTTGGCAAGTGCAATTATTAAATCTAACTTGGAAATGTTATCTTTGAGGTGGTCGTTGAATTTGTCTTGCTGGTCTTATATATGTTTAAAAGGTAGTTAATCGTTTTACTTAAAGTAGAGTACATTTTTTTTTGGGTCAGAAAAGTGGAGTACATTTGTTGAGTGAAAATGATGAATCTGAACTTAGTAAAGCCAGATTTATAAGTTCAGACTTAACCGTCATTCGTAAAATCTATTGATTTCTGAACCGAGTAGATTTTACTCTCTAAATCTAGACATATTGATTTCTGAATTCGAGTACACTTTACCTTCAAAATCTAGATTTATGTATTTCTGAACTCGAGTAGACTTTACTCTTTAAAATCTGGATATATGTATTTCTGAATTCAAGTAGACTTTGCTCTTAAAAATCTGGATATATGTTTTTTTTGAATCGGGTAGATTTTACCTTCAAAATATGGATTTATGTATTTCGAACTAGAGTAGACTTTACTCTTTAAAATCTGGATATTTCTATTTCTGAACCCAAGTAGACTTTACTCTTAAAATCTGGATATATGTATTTTCAGAATCGAGTAGATTTCACCTTCAAAATATGGATTTATGTATTTCTGAACTCGAGTAGACTTTACTCTTTAAAATCTGGATATATGTATTTCTGAACCAAGTAAATTTTACTCTCAAAATATGTATATATCTATTTTTAAACCCGAAGATATTTTACTCTCAGAATCTGGATATATGTATTTCTGAACCCGAGTAGATTTTACTCTCAAAATCTGTCTATGTCTATTTTTGACCCTGAGTAGATTTTACTCTCTAAATATGGATATATCTATTTCTAAATTTGAACCTGGACATACTTATTTTTTAATCCGAATAGATTTTACTTTTAAACCATAATATGATTACTTCCTAAATTTGAGTATATTTACTTTCTAATTTAGAAATAGATATTTCTAAATTTGAATAAATTTACCTTATGAATCGAGTAGATTTACTTCCTGAAATTGAGTAGCTTTTAGCTTTTTGAGTCCGATCACATATTGCTTCGTACTTACTTGCTTGAATAATGCATTTCATTGCTTTAAGGGATATATGATGTAAAAAGATGGTTAGCATATGTATGCAAATATTTATCATGGCTTGCATGAGAATGATATATTTTCCGTCACCCACAAACCAACTGTGACGATGCTCCGTGTGTCGGGATGTCTTGTAAGTTGGGATGCCTCAGAGGGTGTACCGAGATGCCCCAGGAGTCAAGATGCCCCATTGGTCGGGATGCCCCGGAGGGTGTACCAGGATGTCTTGGAGTTGAGATGCCCCATTGGTCGGGATGACCCGGGAGTCTTCAGGCGGAGAAGTAACGAACCTAACACATGAATGAGTGCTATATACCATATGCTTGCGTCTGAACTAAAATATTGTGGAATAATGAAGTGAATTGATTTGTGTGGCATATCCAAATGGGAAAGGTATAACATTTATTCAAGTTCTATACATACTTACTGGTTGTTATGTATTGACGTTGTTTGTGCCAGGTGAAGTGGTAAGATGATTTTCCTAACTTAAAACTAGAGATTTCATTTACCGAGCCTCGGCTCATCCCTTTATTTTTCAAACGTGTAGGATGGATGTTCCACAACCTTTGTGTTTCGGAGTCCCCGTGTATTATGAAGGTGTCTATGAAAATGTGTTCGTACCTGAATCCGAAGTACTATATACTAAATGTAGCTCTACTATGTGGATCGATGTGGGTTCTATGGAGTGGGTTCCCTATTGATTCGTTGCATGGTACTGTAACCTCGATAGTGAGTTAGTTGGCCCATTGAGGGGCTTCAACATTGATGATGATGGTCTCGCAATGGAGGGCGAAGTTATCGATCCATGACGTCATCAATCTTTTATACGGGCATACTTTTGAAGTATAATATAGTATGGAGATAGGCTACCTCGACCTACCTAGACTTTTGTTTTTTGTGATTATATGAAGTTTGAATGGAGATGTAAATATGATAAGTAATGTAAATAAAGAAGCATAAGTACTTAATCTATACTCGTGCAATTTTTATGGTTAAGAAATGTTCTTTTAACTTTCGCTTGCCTACTTATGAATAAAGTTTAATAACCAATAACCATAAGAGACATGTGTCGAGTGTGACGTTCTGGGGCATCACAAGGTGTCTTGTCCCATATCGAAAAGATGTGAGTGGCGGTTATTTTTTAGTTATTTTTATTTCAAATTTATAGTTAAAAATATGAATATTTGTGTCTTTTTGAATCAGTATGTTTGTTCACAAAAGGGTTTCGCCATTTATTATTAACGTTTTTAGTTCAATAACTGCCTCTCTCAATTTTTCGTCTCTTTCTTAAAAGATATAGCCTTTGTCGTGACGGGCTCTCTCAATTTTTCGTCTCTTTCTTAAGATATAGCTTGTTAAAAGATATAGCCTTGTTTCCAATTGTTTCATTTTTTGGCATTCTTGGAGAAATACCAGAATTGCTATATAATATTCTTATTCCGAGATTTTGTTGTATCCTGAAGGATTTTTGCTAGTAACCATTAGCAACATTG